CACTTGGAGGTCGTCCTGAAATTTACCACCCAGGACGACCCCCAGCTGATAGTAAGGCCGTGTTTGTGAGCATGCCCTTCGTGTTTTGGGACATTTATTGATTTTGTGCGCACGCGACCAGACTGGTTTTCACCCTAATGTTCTGAAGATGCTCTGTGGAGCAAAAATCAAAACCTGCGTTTTGTTGGGAGAAACTTTCGCCAAATACGACTTCGCTCGAACGTTCCCCTTTGATGCATTCCTCCTTCCCCACCCCATTCTAGCTATTATCTTCCTGAATTTCTCAGCTTCCTTCTAGCCGGCTCCTTTTTTTTCAAAAATTGTCCCACTACCCTCACCTCCTCCTCAAAAGCTGGCCCCATAGGACAGGAGATAAATTCAGGAGGATACATCGCGCACTTGAAATAGGAAAAACCGAGAAACGTCAACAACCGGAAACATTTTTCTCACTGGCAAATGCGACTCCCTCTCCTCTTTCCACTTCCCAGATACGACCCCCATCGCTGGGAGCTGACCTACATATCCTGATGTGACCGAGTTTATACTCTTCTAAGAACTAACATGGAAGACTGTGTCGCTCCCCTACGAATGTAATGGCGCTCACATGCTAGCTCCTATTTCGGCGTCGACGGCCAGGCGCATGCCATAAATACGTAACGGACCGCGCACCGCGCGAATACACCGTTCACTCTACGCGACAAAGCCATGCCGCGACCGATCACCGCACAGCTTTCCCACGCGCGATAAGCGGCGAATTTGCGCGGCATGCGGCACGCTGGTGACGTGCGCCCACTGATCATAGGTTTTCTACCGTGAGCAGCCCTGCTGCGAACTGTCCAGGGCAATCGAAGACTATGGTAAATCCTCAAAATGGAAAAATACACCTAACAGTCTAAATAAATATTCATACACGTCATCAAACTATTCTGGCAAAGTGACATCGAGTCATACAAGCTGACTAACAATGAAAACATATAAATCTTTAATTTGAGCACAAGTCAGTCTGTTGAAAAACTGTTAATAACTTAACACTACCCTAATAGAACACCCTAAATGCATAAAGTGCTCACACAATTCGGTGGCAACGTACAAATTAGAAGCATAGAAGCAATGCGACATCATATCAACGATCTTTCATAGGCAAAAAATTTCGCTAAAATTTGTTATGCAGTGAATTTACTGATAGAACTTCTTTCCGCTCTTGGCGTGATCCTTGAGAAGTTGGCATGGAGCAAACTATAACGAAAATACAGAAAAATTTGGTTATATAACCAACCTAGTGATCATCACAAGAAGAATAAGCGAGAGTCGCTTTTCTGTTCTTCTGAACACGCAAAAATACTCACCCTGCTCGGCATAGAATAGGCAGGCCGCCAATTTCTCCATGGCAGTGACCAGCTTCTGTGCACCATACAGATCGACAAAACGGAATGGTCCACCCCAGAATGGTGGGAAACCAACGCCGAATACCGACGCAATATCTCCATCACTCTGAAAGAATCATTTCTTTGTGATTCTGGATACACCAGGAACACTATTCAGGTATGAAAACGCACCGGGCTGGCAATGACACCTTCTTCTAGGCAGAGCAAAGCCTCGTTGACGAAACGAGAAGCCAGACGTATTTGTTGATCTGCTACCGAGAAAAAAAAAAAAAAGAAAAGGAAGACTGAAATTGTAGATATGAAGGAGCTAGGCCGAACGTTTACACTCCGTGGCTCTGAGCCACCGGTCGCTCGCAACTGCGTGCGAGCGGGCGCGCTCCACTGCTAATCATTGGGCCAGTGTAACGTTCGAGATTTTCTATACTGAATAAGCAGTAGCAGTGGTCCAAGTACTAGCGATGGAGCGCAGTGAGACAATCGCAAAATTCAGCAATCGCGCGAACTGGAAAGCATGAACGCGGCTCGTGAGCAGGTATTTATGGAAAAAAGTCACATACCAATCTGCTGGTGCCTTCAGTTGATATTTTTGAAGAAGTTTCGTCGACTCTTCGTTTACCTTCTTCTTACCTTTGTCTGAGTAAACATAGATACCTAAAACCATCACATTATATACGATTAATGGCATACCTAAAACATCACATATATAACGAATATCATTGTGAAACTCGGTAAAAAAACAAATACAGCAAACATTCCAGAAAGGTGAAGTAAGGAAAGGAAAAAGAGAAATGCAGGCCAACAAGGACGCGAGCGGTTGCGGAGCGACTGCCAGGGCAATCAATACTGTCCAAATAAGTGTATAAGGAGATGATCTTCAACATATAACCTTTACCACTTGTTCCCAACATCAGTTATTTTTGTGAGTAGTCAAGTGTAGCACGGGCAGGGAGCCTCTCAGTTGGGGAACTCACAGCAGAAGGAGGTCGTATTTGACTTGAGGGACAGTTACTTTTTGACAGCGCTCACCACCACACTACTAAGACAACTACCAAAAGCGGTACGGAGTAGGGAAATATTGAAAAAAATGGTAAGTAGGAAGGAAGATCGTACCAGGAGAGGAAACCGGGGGAGGGAGGGAATGGTGATATTTTCCAAAAATTTTCCTCAGCGGCAGAACCCCTGAGCAGAGGTTTGCCACCTGTCAAGAGTTAGAGAATGGCGTTTACAGACAATTAAATGACAAGAAAATCTGCATTTCAGCGTTGTCAAAAAGTCATAAGACGCGTCATTAACGTGCCGTCAGCCACATTTCACCTATCTTTTAACACGTGCACTACTGGAAAGCGTACCTCTGTTTACAGCACGATGAACTGCAGGAACAAACTAGTACGTGGCCGCCACGCGACCGCACGCGTCCAGGACAACCAGACTTTCGGCCCCACAATTAGTTCACTATTTCAACCAACCTTTGTTTGTCTTTTTGCCCTTGAATCCGGCGTTGATCATGTCAGTCAGCAAATCAGCAGACCCACCACGAACTCGTGGCCCTAGTGCTTGGCCAAGGAATTGTGCAACATGTGCGGATACATCTAATCCTACCTGAATAACACACCTACTGACACCTTATGGATCCCCTTGACCAGTTGAAAAGCACTCACCTCATCGGCCAATGTTGCTGCTCCAACGGGGAATCCGAATTGTTTTGTGAGTTTGTCCAATTCTAGGGGTGAGACGCCTTCTTGCAGCATACGAATAACTTCTGACATCATTGGACCAAGACAGCGTACAACAAAGAAACCAGGGCAATCCTAATTGTCAGTTTCGTTAGGATGCGTAAACCAGCGAAAATCCAAACACTCGTCACC